TGCTTACTTCCAAAGCAGCCATAGTAAATTCCAGTACCAGAACTAATGGCTAGTACTATGAAAAATATGAGGTAGTCGTACCAGAAAAAGCCAGATATGACTTGTTTTCAGTAGACCTGAAAAGTTAAAACTAGATATAGTGACACATTTAATGGTTTACTTTGTTGTTTATACCTAATCTAGTGTTTTACGTAATACTTTTTATTTATATACAGAGTGTTTCAGAATTCATTTATTTTGTTATTTATATAATTTGATGTTTTGCTCGTTAACTACGGTTTTGAAAATTTTTAGTTTATTGCTATATTTGCAATATTTGCTTAAATCACATCGCTTTAAACTTCAAAAAACGCATATAAAATGTGCATTTAATAAAAAGGCATAAAACTAAAATGTAAATGAGTGTAATTATTCACTGATAATAGTTTTTTCCCTGTACTTAATAGAAATGATAATAGTTATTTATGGTATAAGTGGGTTATGTTAGATATTACCTACGAGAGGTATGTGTAACCTACGAGGGCTTGCCCGAGTAGGTTACTACCTCGAGTAGGTAATATCTAATAACCCACGTATGCCATACAACGTTTTATCCAATATTTCCGGATTTTTATCTATTAAATCTGTTAAATATAATCTGACGTTTCATATTGAGAAGTGCCAAACAGTTGTCAAAACTTCCTTACACAATTTTGACAGTGTCGAAGAATAAACAAATTTTCCACTGATTTGCCAGATTAGAAAATGAGAACTCGGTGGCCAACTCAAGTACAAGTGATCATGAACATGCAGCTTCTGGTTTGCAAGTCGTTGAGTCCAGAGAGATTCCTGAAATTCATTTTCACGAATTTTATTTTATCCTGCAATGGGTTATGGATGGTAATAACCCACGGTGCTAATGGCAACGTGGATTATATCAAACAGTCTAGTTATTGCTCAGTTTACTTAACAAAAACTAACAAGTAAAACAACATATTACTATTGAATATTGGATAAAATTGTTTAACCCAAAATAATTATGTTATGTTAGCAACACTTTTCTTGTTAGCAACACCTTTTTCTATTTTATCATCCACGAGGTGGAATAAAGCGTCCGATTTCCACGAAGACGATTTGAATACAACATTTTATTCTTCAAATTAGATTCAACAAGACTTAAACTTGCTTTAAATCTGTTAAAATAATCTTACGTTTCGTATTGAGAAATGTTGTCAGAACTTCCTTACACGGGAGAATTTCCGTGAAGTCGTGAAGTCAGGGCCGTACCCAAGGAGGGGGTTTAGGGGGTTCAAAAAAATTTTGTTGCTGAAAGTGGCAAGAAACCACAGAAAAAATAGTTAGAGTAAATTTTTACCCTAATCCCATCTAGTTTAGGAAGCACCTAATTAAAAATTTCAACATTTTATTTTTGTACTTGTTTAGGTGTATAAAAGTCATCATCTGTAGCAAATTTTGAAATTTTTTTCTAAAATGATTTCGGAAATATTGAAAAAGACCTATTATGCGTAGCATTTTTCGATATATGTTCATAGAAAATTTTTGTTTTAAAAATGAATATTCATCTCCTGTTTAAATTTGTAACAATAAAAAGTATTAAAAATTTATTTTATTTTTTGTTACTTTTGTGAGTTAATTTGTATTTTTTTATGTTTAATTAGGATCTCTTATTTCAATTTAAAATAAAAACGTGTACTTAGAGATTTTTGCTTTTTAATCCGTCTTCTTTCATTTCATTTTCATGGACCAACAAGAAAATAAAATCCTGGTTACGGCCCTGCGTGAAGTACACGAAAAAAGTGCGTGTTCAACGCGTAAGAAAAGTGAGTTTTCTTTACTTGTTAAACAATCTGCTATTTTTTGCATTCGCTTTCTAAAATGACTATTTTGCGCACTCAGAACAGCGCAAATTAAATCTTTATAATTTTAAATTTCGTATAAATTTTTCTACAAAATTTTTAGGTATAATACCCCGAGTGTGTTGATTGTTATTAACTTTTTGAAGTTATAGAAACAATAAACGTTAAATATCAACGTCAAGTCAAGGTTGATTAAAATTAGGTAATATCGTTTTTTTTTGTAGCCGCCCATGTTTTCAGCCACTTTTAACACAATTTTATTCCTTTTTTTTGTAAGCAGGACCTCTTACAAAAACAGATTCTTGTTTATGGCAATTTTTATTAGCGATCAACAATTTAATATAAGTTTTAAGTAATTTATCATTTTTAAAAGGCAAATTAAAATCACATTTTAAGGTTGTTTTAGTAATACGATATTAATCTCTACCTACTACGTATTCTACATTTTAAATTTCGTTAGAATCCGGTGGTAAATAATAGAGATATTAGATCCGAAAGTCTTAGGTGGGACACCCTGGATAGTGACCCACATCAAACTTTTATGTAATTTTCTCAGATTTTTTCTCTAAATTAAATATTGATGTGTACTCGTACGTTATAGTATACACTCATCATAGACTATTTTGAAAAAAAAGAACTTCCTAGCTTCATCCAACAGAGGAAAAAATACGAACATGTATAGTCCGTTTTTTTATTATATTTCAGATGCATACAATATTTTTAAACTCACAAATTATAAAAGTAATTTTTTTATTGAAACATTTTTCAAATTTCGTTTGTGCCACACAAACATTAGCAAAATTAGCAACAAAACGGCTGATATCTGGTTGTAAGGATTTAATAACTTCTTGTAATAACTGTTGAACATTCTATTCCGAACCTTTATTGCAGAAATATCAACCCTAAAATATTTTTTAATAATAAATGTTTTAACAATAAGTGTACTAAATTACTGAAAAAATCTCATATCATCAACTGTTAGCGAAGCTGGCCGAAGGTCGTAAATCACCTCTCTAGCGGCCCTATTTCCCGCCATAATAGCACCACAAATGGACCCATACCATTCTGTGGAAGTCTCAGCGCCGGCCCAAAATATCCTAAACAAAAATATTTTTTTTAATATTGAGAAAAAACCTAATATTTTCCAATTACCTCTCTGTGCTTTCTTGAACTGAGGACATTTTCCCAAACGATTTAAAACAACACATCGGACTACCACTTTTCCACTGTTCCACCGTGAGCTGAAGCGGCTTCAAAGCCTCATTTCCGAAATAAAAAGCCAACTGTTTCAAAATCGCAACTTTTGGGTCTCCCTCACACCGCAAAATGTAGCCCATTAGGGCAGCTTTGTCCTTTGTACTAATATCAAAACAACAAATAATGGGCTTTTCCGAGCAGTGCCCATTTAAAACGTGCACATCCCCCGTATAGCCCAAATTCGCCCAAAAGGGCAGAGTGTAAGTAACCACAAATTGGGCCAATCTCCCATCTGATACTCCACTCAGGGCCTCCAATTTGTGCCCAGACAGCGGTGGCAAAAATCGAATTTTTCTCATTTCGGAGGGCGGAATTGCCATAATTACATAACTGCTACTGAAAATTATACAGTGAGAGTAAAAAATATGGGATAATCTAATTTATTAAAACTGAAAATATTTTGTTTTGACAAAAATGCTCGAACAGATCAATTTTTTTTTAATTATACAGGGTGTTCGGTCCAATTCACCCCGGCCGATAACACCTAAACTTACTTTTTTTTTTCAAAAACTAATTTTTCAAATAATACTATTCATTCCTCGTTTTCATAGTAAATGCATCAAATTTTTTTGGCACATCCGGTGTAGCCAGAAATGCTACCAAATTGAGTTTTTCAAATGGGACACCTATGTTTTTTTGCTCGAAACAATAATAATTGGCATGAAAAATACGGTAAATCACTATTTATTACATTTTACTTTACATAATGCACTCAGAAAACAATTTAAATTTTTGAATTTTATTGCAAATTTTGTGGATTTTACTTTTTAAGGTATTCATGCAAAAAGTAATATGCTTGGATACTGTTTAATTGTTAGTTTGACAAAGCCTAATTTGTCAATAAATCTTATTGAGATCTTTAATAATGGATGATATTAATTACGACGAATTGGTAGATCAGCTTGAAGTGTAATAAAAATAGAGCGGAAGCTGAAAGACAGTATAGAGAAAAATACTCAAATAGAGTTCACCCAAATCGTTGGAAATTTAGTCGAATTGAAAAACAACTGAGACGAATCTTCTTCTTAAAACTAAAAAACTTGTGGTTCTTTGTGAAGAACAAGGAAATAGAAATCTGAATATTCTGTTATCAGTCGAAGAAAATCCAAGAGTTTCCATAAGAGAACTCGCTCATCAACTGACAAATTAGATTTGTTAAACAAACAATTAAACTGTATCCAAGCATTTTTTTATTCACACCTTTCTTTTAAAGTTAGAAATCAGGCTACGCGACCAATTTCCTTATAAAATTCTAAGATTTAAGATGTTTTTTGATTGCATTGTGTTACGCAAAATGTAATAAATAGTGGCTTACAGTATTTTTCATGTCAATTATTATTGTTTGAATGAAAAAAAACATAGGTGTTCCATTTGAAAAACTGAATTTGGTAGCATTTCCGGCAACACCGGATGTGCTAAAAAAATTGATACATTTACTAAGAACGCCAAGAATGAATATTATTCCTTAAATATTTACTTTTTGAAAAAAAAGAAGTAAGTTTAGGTGTTATCAGCCGGGGCGACTTGGACCGAACACCCTGTATATTTGTTTTCTATTGATATTATTTCACTTTTTGGATGTTTTTTTTTTCGAAAACTTTATATACCTAATATTTAATATTTTGATATTATTTCAACAATTAAAAGATCTATCAAATTGGCTAAAAACATTAGAGGTTTCAATTAAAAAAACAGACAATGACGTCATTCTTCAAAAACCAAAAAGTGTAAAATTTTAAGTCAAGTTGAGAATTGTGTATTTTTTTAAAAGAAAATTAATTAATTAACCTGTTCAAGCATTTTTGCCAAAACAAAATATTTTCAGTTTTAATAAGATTATTCCATAATTTTGTCGTTCATTGTACAGGGTGTCCCAAGTTTTAGAGCCAACGCAAAAATAAATATTTCTAATTGATTAAAAAAGAATTTTGATAGATAAAACTATTGAGGATTGAATACACTTTAATTTGATGTTTGATATTGTACAGGGTGCTGCATTTTGGATGTCCGAATAGGGAATCTCCGAAACTAAGAGGTTTAGCCAAAAACGAGTAATACATTCATTTTTTGAAAAAATAATATTTGTCAAAACCGCATCCCGCTATCGTCTTTTGTTTTCGACTTACAAACAAAAGTTGACATTTTGGCGAAATCTAAAAAAATTTACATCTTCGTTATTATAGAAGATACGGATTTGAAATAAAGACATTATACAGGCACTTTTTTACGTAGAATTTAATAATGTAGTTAACAATTTTTTTCAGTTGTTTGTTTAGCCGTAATAAAATAAACTTGTATTTTTTTAAATGGGAATCATAGATGGCTATGTCATTTTTAAAAAGCTTGTTTTTTTCTTTTCTAAAAAATATATATTTGTAACAAATTATTATGATACATTTTTAGCAAAAAATTATCTTTGATTTTTGTCCGCAGTTGGCCATGAAAAAATGTTGCATCTTCAACTAAAAGGATTTAAACTATATTATATTCAACCAGTGTCACTAATGAAAGAGTTTTCTAAGTACTAAGTAATGAAAAAAATGTAAAATAAATCGTAAATCAACTTATTGGCGACTAATAACATTTCTTTGTTTTTAAACAAGCTATCATTACCATTGCAACTTCTAGTGATCTATAGAGTGTTGTAAAAAAAAGCCGCTTTAATTCTTCAATAAAATATATATTATATGACACAAAAATTTGATTTTCCTATTTTTTGATTTTTTAAAAATATGTAATAATTTTGTTCTGAGGCGCTCGGATATTTGTTCAATGCTTCTACCGTATCGTATTTTTTAAATCTTTATAATTTTATCTATTTTTTCATCTATTTTACAGTTCACAAAACTCTTATTGATTATTATTCACACATTTGGAGTGAAATAGTTTTTCCAATGCCAACTATTATCAAATAAAATATGTATTTCACTTTTTAAGTATAGTTATAAAAAAATATTTTGTTACAAATATATATTTTTTAGATCAGAAAAAAATAAGCTTTTCAAAATTGCCATAGCCGCCTATGATTTACATTTAAAAAATACAAGTTTATCTTATTACAGCTAAACTAATAACTGAAAAAAAATGTTAACTACATTATTAAATTCCTCGTAAAAAAGTGCCTGTATAATGTCTTTATTTCAAATTCGTATCTTCTATAATAACGAAGATATGAATTTTTTTAAACTTCGCTAAAATGTCAATTTTTGTCTATAAGTCGAAAACAAAAGACGATGGCGGGATGCGGCTTTAACCAATATTATTTTCTCAAAAAATGAGCCCCAGAATGTATCACTCGCTTTTGGCTAAACCTCTTAGTTTCGGAGATTCCCTATTCGGACATCCAAAATGCAGCACCCTGTACAGTGAGACCTTAAAAATTAAATTTGGAAAAAAATCAATTATCTGGAATAAAATTCTATATGATAAAATTCTTTGATTTTTTTTCTGTGGTATTTGTAAAAATATAATAACGATAAAGTTGATAGATTTTGAATAGCTAATTAACATTTTAATATTGAAAATTTGAAACTTGGAATAATTTATGGGGGGGGCTGGGGTAATTGGTGATCAGGGCAGAATTTCTTGACAAAAGAAAATAATCCGCAATGACATTTATGACACACCCGGGCTCTATTGTCAATGCATTAGCAGCAGATCTTCCCAAATTTGGCCATAAATTACCAGAATTCCCAATATCAAAATATATCAACTTTTACATTATTCAATTTTCACAGTCACTATTAGAAAAAATGAATGAATTTTATCATGTAGAAAAGATTCCAATTAATTAAACCAAATTTGGTTTTTAGAGTCTCACTGATATTCGCCAAAAATTTTAAACAATATCAAAGTACTAAATTGAAATCTATACAAGGTGCTTCAAAACTCGCGCCCCAGAAAAAAATTTCAAGTAAGGTAAGATACCAGGAATATGGAAAAAATGTTTAAAAAAATTCTATCTGTCAAAAAAAAATTGTCATTTATTTTTTGACATATGGCACTTTTATGCCTATTTAGTGATACTGATCTTGTATATATATTTTTACAATTATTTAGTAAAAGTACAAAAATTTTTCCAATAAAAACCACAAATAACATTGAACAGAGTTACAATATAGGGAAAAAATTTGGAAAATCATTCAAGTGCAAAATTAAAACCCTCATAACTTCGAAATTTTTATAGATACATTTTTTTACATTTTTCCTATGTTCCTGGTATCTTAAGGCGTAAGTTCTGGCGCACCTATATAATCTTCTATCGTTTACACCAACAATTTTTTTAATCAATTAAAAATATTTAATTTTGCGCAGGCCCTTAAACTTGGGACTTAAAAATTACAAAGTTTTGTTATAAAACATACTAGAAACTGCCACGAGTCGTAGTCACTTTATTGTGACACCCAGTTGTTTTAATTTGCCCAACTCGAGCTTTGAGAATTGGGTCCAAATTGAGCAAAAACGTGATTTTATTGCAAATTTCGTGAGCCCCATCCTAGAATTACAAATTAATTAATTGCTAACAACTTTATGTTGGGACCTTGATCCAAAATTCGTGCAATCCATCGTGGAAAAGGGCCAACTGGTTTGCGATTCCGTGACTCGAAGTGCAGAAAAATATGTAAAAACCCACAGTCAAATCGGCTGATTTTAGGCCAAAGTTTTTGAGGATAATCGAATCGATTAGCGCTTCCACACATTTATTTTTGACATTAACACTGATGAATTTTTCCATATTTGTGGAGGCCAAAACCGGGTCGAGTCTCATTTTCTTGCATAATTTTTCAATTTTTGACACAAAACGTGCGAGTTCTAGTTGGGCCCCAATACTGAGAAACGCAAGTGGGTTTTGTTTGGTCTGTTTCAAAATTTTCCCATCATAGTCGAGAATAACTTTTCCCTTTTGGTTCGAACTAAACTCAATGTTCATGCCGAATTCGGCTAAAAAATCGATAAGTCCTTTTTGTTGGGCACTGATCCAGTGCCCCCCAATGTCATACATGTGATACTCATCGTTTTTGACAATTAGGGGCTTTGAAATGGCTCGACCCCCGATTCTGTCTGACTGAAAGATGAATATTTCGTGTGGAAATTTGATAAATCACCTGTGGCTTCCAAAATAAGGAGACTTAAAGTGGGTTCTTTTTGGAGTAATGCATAGGCGGCGACTAGGCCTGAAATGCCAGCGCCTATGATGATAACATCGGCGTCTAAGACACGATAAGTGTCTTTCATTTGTGGAAGAAATTTGACATTTTTGGCACAAATTGAGGACGATTGCTCTGATCATGGCTACTGTCATCTCCACTCCATGAAGAGGCATAATTATTATAAAATTAAATTATTTTATAACTGACAAAAATTTGAAAATGATGAAAAGTTTTAGATTTGTAAGAGCAAGATAATGTAAATAGGTGTACAAAATTATTCTTATCCCCATGAAGTGTTGCCTGCGTCAGATGTAAAAATAAAATCCATTTAAAGTCTGTTTTTTTTTAAATGGAAATTACCAAGTCAAAATTTTGGTGAAAAAATTGGTAGCAGCTTGTCTCCATAGCCACAAATTTTGTCCATTTTAAAAAAAACAGACTTTATTTGTTTTTTTTTGGTTAGTGTTTTAGTAGGGTCAAACGAGTAAATGAGTTTTTGTCTGAAAAAAGGAAATTGACAAAAAAACAAATTTTTGCAATTTTCGATATTTTTTTTTTAATTCTTTCTAGAGTTTCAGACAGAAGTTACATAATTAATGAGACTTAAAGGCACGATTGCTTGGAATTGGCTGAAAAATTAAGTCGCTCTGTTTTGGCTAAAATTACGTAAGCCAGACTTAAATCGATATTTTTTGGTATTAAGTAATTTTCTTTCTCAAAAATGAACTAAATCTTTTAAAATGTGCGAAATAAAGCAACGATTTTTTCAGTGTTGGCAAAATATTTTGAAATAAATGAGATTCTGGAAAGAAAAAATTGACTGAAATAAGATATTTTTGCCAAAATTTCTTGTATATTTTTCTTGAGTTTCTTGACCTAAAGTTACGATTTTTTGACATGTTTGAGCAAAATATCTTGAATTAATTGTTTTTTTTTTTGCTGAAAAAAGCTTGAAGTCGCTCAGAGATGGCTGAATTAGTGTGATTACGATCTAAAATGACTGTAAAATTTTTCGATTTGAGTTGGTTTCTTGCTCTAAAACGAACTAAAACGATCACTTTCTAGTGTGTTTTGTGCAAAATCTTTTAAAATATGTGCGTTTTTGGCTAAAAAACGTAAGTAATCGCTCGGAATTGGTTGAAATAAGATAATGGGGGACAATAAAATCATTTTTATTTTTAGAAAAAAACCCGTTTATTATATTGTGTTCTTATTATTTACCATAAAATCAGCAGTCTTTACACTTCATATTAGGCTTGAAATAATATCAAAATTTTACTTAGAAAATACTTATTTTTTTAGTTTTCTGAGATCACAAATTTGTTATAGTGTGCCCCAGGGGTGGGGTACAGTTTAACAGCCTTAGGGGTACAGTATAACAAAAAACTACAGGGTGTTCGGTTTTTATTGTTACAAATTTAAACAGGTGATAGGATATTCAATTCTAAGACAATAGTTTCCTATAAACATGTATCGAAAAATGCTTGGTAAGGGAGCTACACCCCCTGAAAAGGGGCTAATAGGTTTTTGCTAATATTTCATAAACCATTTGAGATAAAATGACAAAATTTGGTATAGATGATAACCTTTATACACCTAAGCGAATTCAATCCTCAAATGTCGAAATTTTTAATCAGGGGCGTCCGATACTGGTGGGGTTTAGGGTAAAAAAAACCTATCTATTTTGGCTTTAGTTTCTTTAGTTATGCATTGACCAAAATAGTGGTCACTTTGAACAACTCCTTTAGATTTAGGCAAATACATTTAATTAATATTATTATTGTTACTGTAATGTAATGTTAATTAGTTGAGGTATTCTGTAAATTGTGATTTATTTGAATGTTGTATTGGTGTGTAACATAAATTTTAAATTAATTTTATTCAAAAACAATAAGTCGTATCGACACAAGAGAGACTTTTCTTTGATAAACTATCGAACTTAAGATTTTGTTGCTGAAAGTACCGAAAAGCTAAAGTCAAAATAAATAGGGTATTTTTTTACCTTAAACTCCCCCAGTTTCGTACGCTCCTGATTAAAAATTTCGATATTTGATGTTGAATTCGTTTAGGTGTATAAAGGTTATCATCTGTACCACATTTTGTAATTTTATCTTAAATGGTTTCTAAAATATTAACAAAAACATATTAGCCCCCTTCCAGGGGGTATAGCTCCCTTACCAAGCATTTTTCGATACATCTTTATAGGAAACTTTTGTCTTAGAATTGAATATCCTATCACCTGTTTAAATTTGTAACAATAAAAACGGAACACCCTGTATAAGTCAATCGCAGATTTGCAGCTTCCTCAGCTTGCCCCCTGTTACATTGGCCCCCATTTGACGCTATACAAGGTGAATAAAAAATATGGAACCAATCATTTGCCTTCAGAATTAAAGTGTTATAAAACTTAGCATCGTATTTTGAGGATAAAATTTTGTTTTGTCTTTGAATGCAACTTAGACAAGGTGATTCAAAAAAGTCTGTCCAACAGAAATAAATAGTCGAAGTGAAAAATTTAAACTTTATTTAAAATTTTATAGACAGAATTTTTTTTAACATTTTTTATATGTTCTTGATCCTGGTATCTTACCTTACATGACATTTTGCTCTGGGGCACAAGTTCTAAAACATCCTGTATATCTCGTGAAAAAAGGCTCAAACAATTTTGTTGTCATGGAAACTTTTAACTCAGTTAAACATGGTCCAAGACTTTTGAATCACCCTGTATATAAATGTTTGATAAAAATTGATTAGATAGTTATAATCCTTACATGATAGCCTTTGAAAGAAAAGTTTTATAATGGGTTGCTTGTTGCTATTAAAAAAGTAATAAAAATTTTTCAGAACTCAAAAACAAACATAAAATTTCGAAAAATTTTATTTCTGATCAAAACGTTACATTTTTATAGTACTTTATCATTATCAATTAGATTTTTCAGAATATAAATAAATTACAAAAAAAAATTTGGTTCCATACTTTTAACTCATCTTGTTTGAAAAACTTTGTTCTATGATAAATACAGAGTGAATATAAAGTATGGAACCAAGCGATTTTGTTTTTAATGATTTGCCTCCAGAAAATAATAATTAATATAAATTAAAGTAATATAAAAAATCTGATCGTATTTTCAGAACAAAATTTTGTTTTGTTTTTGAGTTATGCGATTTTTTTTTGTCAAAATTGCAATTTATGTGAAAAATTTTTTTTGATAAAATTAAATATAAAGCAGATAGTTGTAATCCTTAGAGTATAGCTTTTATGTGAAAAATGATTTTATAGTGGGTTGCCATTTAAAAAAATATCTTTTTTTGTAGAACTCAAAAACAAAAGGAAATTTCGAAAAATTTTATTCTTGTTAAATCATCACATTTTTATAGTACTTTATCACTCATCAATTCGTTTTTTCAAAAAATAAATAGTTTAAGCAAAAAACGTTTGGTTCCATACTTTTTATTCACCTGGTATATCTGAACTCCATCGTACTTGGTTACTTACACTCAGAATGTTAACAAAGTTACAAGTAAACCAATTTTAGTAAAAATTTCGATTATTTGTGTTTAAATTGTAATAAGAAAATTAAACTCGTAGGAAATATCTATAACAAAGAATTTAAATTTGCCGCCAGTTTTGTTTCAAAATAATACAACCAAGATACGGCGCCAAAAATAAAAATTTGTTGACAGGCATATTGTATGTTATTTGATTTTCTATATTTCACTTTAAATTCCACTGCTTTCAATCACCAAGTTTTATTCGCTTTTGAAACAAATTTTAGTTGCTTTCTATACAGGGTGTTTCACATAATTTTACGAGGCCTGCGCCTATAAGATGCAATCAATAATACATATTCCGATACGAACTAGATTAAAAATTTTGAAAATTGGATAATCTTCTCTAGTTTGTTCATCCTTTCAAAAACTACAACATTTTTAGTTCGTTAGTGATTAAGATAGATAAACTAGTATCATATTTATGCCGAACAAATGATAGTTGATTCCGAAAAACTGCAGTTTGTGACCATTAATGAAACAGTGATTAGTTTGACAACTACTGTCATGGGTTTAAAAAAATTAAATAATTAAATGTGTATTTTTTGTATCCAGCGTTTTGTGACTTTTGTATATTTAGGTGCGTACATTAGGCGCAGGCTTCGTAAAGTTGTGTGAAACACCCTGTATAATTTTCAATATTTTGTTTAGACGTTTCCCTACCCTTCTTCCTTTGAGTGCCGGTTTTGATAGTTGCCTATATTACAATAAATGAAAAGTTAACAAATGGCTACTGTTTCTTTGTTCTTCACACTTTATTATAATTATTTAAACGTGAAATAAATTTTTAGCTGTGGTTTTAAACATTGTTATTTGCATTTCTGTGCGTTTTTTCGAAGTATTGTTGGTTGCATGCACTACAATCGGCCATTTTTTGCCCATATCCACATACGATTGCAAACATCGAAATGTGTGAAAAACCTAACCTTCATCCTTTATAAAAAGCCGCATATGAGTAATTTCGAAGTGTGATTAATTTTCCGAAGTAATTTTCTTTGTTTACTCATGAATAATAACAAAGTTGTCAAGACCGTGTTGTTAACCGAATAAAAATCACATTTCAGTCCGTCACTTCAGTGTTATGGCCGATCCTCGTCTAAAAACTCTCAAAATCAAAACAGGTGTAGTAAAGAGATTAGCCAAAGAAAAAGTGACTTATGAGAAAGAAGCCGATCAGCAGCGAAACAGAATTGAAAGATTAAAACGCGAAGGTAAAGACGAATATGACATCAGGAAACAAGAGGAGGTCCTCCAGGAGAGTCTGATGATGGTCCCGGATTGTCAGAGACGTCTCGCACTCGCTTACGACGAATTGACCAAAATTCTTGAATCTGAACAAGACTTGAAAGAACTTGAGGAGTACCACACTGCGTTGAAAGTGCTCGAGGAGGCAAAATTGCAGTTGCCTCACAAGGACTAATTTAGTTGTTTTTTTCTTATTTTATTAATTAACTAGTTCGTAATGGATCAGCTTGGTGATGGCCCCAGACTCAACTACCTAGACCCCCGACTTTCCAACACCAATTTCCAACCACTCCCTGTGAAAATCGACAAGGAAAAAGACCAACAAATCATTGATACATGGCTCGCTGAAAGAGGAAAGTTCCAAATAAACCCCTACTACGCCATCCGGAGGCCCCGATGCGAAATCACCCTAAATGGGGCGAAACAAGCCTTGCGAAACTGTCTCGCAATCGTGGAGAAACTAAACAAAACACAAGAAGAACTGCGAAATAAAGTCGAAACCATGTCGTCGAACGAATGGAAACAAAAAACCCTCGATATCGGGAGTCTCAAAGACGAGTTCGACAAATCAATCCTCTTGTTCGAAGACAACACAATTTTGAAGTCGCTCAAAAGCCTGGTTGTCAAACGTGCGAAAAAACGCCTCAATCAGAAAAAACAGAAAAAGTTTCGACAAGAACAACACAAAATCAAGAAGGAGAAACAAATCGAAATTGATAAAAACATAGACAGGTGGCTGGAGAGCAAGAAAGAGGAAGTTGAACGCGCAAAAATGGAAGAGAAGATGAAGAAAGACGCCGATTGTGTTTTGTATGAAGTGACGAAGAAAAAGTCGGAAGCTCGCAAGCAACTCTCTCTTATTTCCGCTCTTGTTAAGTTGAGGACGGTGAGGGACGCTATGGCTACGCAAAGGGGCGAAAAACTGTCTCTTGAAGACAGGAAAGCCTTCGGTCATGTCACAGGTGAAACTCGTTTAGGCAATTTTCTTGTGTTATTTTTCCTCTTTCAGAGAAATTAATTCGCATGTGGGAAAACTCTTACCAGAACTACTGCAAAGAGGAGCAATGCTTGAAAGTGATGCTTGAACACAACGCCACGATGGACTCCAAAGCGGCCATAAACGCGAAACAGGCGCGTATTGTCGACGACTGGGAGTCTCTACTCTTCGGCCCGAAAGACGCCCCCGTCAACAACCCCACGTTCTGGGCTTTGACCAGCGCCGACCGCGATATGGAGACGTTTATAGCGATCAGGAAGAGTTGGGATACGTTTCTAAGGGCTTCAGGGTCCGCCATTCCGCTAGGTTGGGTCATTCCGCCAGAGACACCCAACGAGAGTTGGGCCCCGTTTTTAAAAAATGACTAATTGCTTTTCCAATGTTTTTAATAAAATGACTAATAATTAAAGGGCTTTGCGATGGTATTCGGGTGTGGCGTTTCCGTAGTCTTGCAAACTGAACAATTGGGCACTGTTTTTGACGAGATATTTTAGAAAGTCTTGGATGTTTTGGAGCAAGAGTTGGATGCTGCGTTCGTCGAGGGGGGTGTAGGCCAACATGGCCCCCAACTTGACGAAAAGTCGGAGTAAATGAGTGGCGCCGTAGATCTCAGACATGGGTTTGTCGGGGTAGTTTTGTAAAATGTCGGCGTATTGGGGCCTCTCGAATTTGTACAAGAGTTGCGTCCCTAACATCACATTAAAGTATTCTTTGATTCCTTTAACAATTTCAATAGTGGCCGACTCTTTACTCGAATTATTCGACTTGATTGATTTCTTGTAGGTGAGATAATTGTCCAGAATTTGCTCAACAGTGACTTTCGCTGGCAAATTCGCTAATTTCCGTTGTCTGGTGATTATGTCCCAATCATCCACCAACCAGGGTTTTAATTCATCAGGGATTTTAACCTTGATTTCAACTTTATTCAAAAACTGCTCTTCTGACTCAACTGAGGGGTCCAGTCGCCCCCTTTTCTTCCGAGGGACGTCCGAACCTGAATCTTGACCACTTGAAGGAGTACTTATTTTGCTCTTCCCTCCTTTAACCAATTCGTTATTTGGGGTACTTGACCTCGAATCAATCTCTTTCGTTGCCTCAGCTTTATTCTTTTTAGCTTTTTTCGTTTTACTAGGTTGAGTGGAGTGGGCTTTTTGGACTTCCTTTTGTCTTGCAACATTGGCTTCATTGTACTTGAGGACCCGGCTTTCGGGCACCCATTCGTCCCAACTGGAAACACAAAAATGTTAATTTAACACCTAAAACGCTGTTTGCATACTTTTTATTCCAACCAGCATAGTGGATAAAATATTTCACTTGTTTATCCTTGGTTATGGTCGATTTCAAACATTTCGCTTCGTATATTAAGGGGCCGTGAAAGCACAAAACTTTCTCACCTGAAAAAGATACATGTTTTACACGGTTTAAGGGGGCTGTCAAGGTTTTCACCTTCGGAAAATTTGAACTTTGGGGGCATTTTTCACATCAAACAACTTAAAGTTTTGACATTTGACAATTGTTTGTGGCTACAGTTACAAAATACTCAATTTTGGATCATTGTGCCACTAATGACTGTGGTTATAAATTTATATTTCTTCAAAATCAGACATTATTTTTTGCACGAGTTTGTTTATGTGTACCAAATGCCAAATTTGATTTAATTTAGTTTAATTACAAGTTGGAAGTGGCTACAATCACAAGTTAGTGTCAACATAGCCTAACTCGGAGATTAAAATTAAAATTTGATTTCGTTTAAAATGGGTAAGTTTTGGTCAAACTCGCTCCACATTTGTTATATTATAACTCCAGAGTTGCAAGATTCTAAGAAATCGAAGAAAAGTAAACCCAAAAAGAAGCCCCCTCTTCCTGAGGACGACACCTCCGGTGATTTGCTTATAGTCGATGAATCCGGGGGCAAAAACAAGTCCCCTGTGAATAAACCCCCGTCGACATCGTCCACTTCAAATAAGAAACGAAAAAAACGCGATAGTGCCTCTAGTGACGAAGAAAGGTGGCTTACTGCAATCGAGTCTGGAAAACTTGAAGACGTTGATGACGAATTGAAGAAAATCAAGCCAAAAGATCCTGCTTTGATGACAGCCCGACAGCGGGCAATGTATGAGCGAGAAGTCGACGGGAGCCCCTCTGTCACAACCCCCACATTAATGTCACTACCCACCGGTTACAAAGTATTTCAATTTCGTTTCGCCCCAATTAACTAATCTTTGTGTATTTAGGAGAAAGTCATGACGGCTGAAGCGATCCAAAAAGCCGCGATTAAATCCCAAAAACGCAAACAACTAGCCGACGAAAAACGAGAAAAGGATAAAAAGAAAACTATGGAAAGGTTGCTGAAAAAACAGGAGTCCAAAGCGGCAAAAGCTGCGAAAAATAAAGTAACAAAAACACAAACTCCTATGATTTTGTATAGACAAAATGTGAATGTGACCACACTGTCTTTTCCCCCGGGGATGGACTGGCCCTTGCCCGTTTCAGAGGGCAAGGAGCCCCCAAAACCGACACTTTGCAGCATGGGCTGTGGCAGTGTGAAAAAGTACTCCTGCTCACAAACCAACGCACCTTTGTGCAGTTTAACTTGTTATAAAAGAAATATTGCGAGTCGGATTTTGTGAAGAAAAATCGTTTTTGAGTCAGATGCCGGTAATATATTTGTTTTTAATATTTTATTACATAACTTTCTTTACGGTTCTTCAGTTCTATTGAAAATGGTAAGGCCAGTCTCACTTATTTCCTGTTTTATTGTTAACGGAAGCAGTAGAGAAAATTGTTTATGTAACTCTTGTCTACCTGGCCCATTTGTAGATATTTTGGCACTGGATATGACGTGTAGAGGTGCCCCAATCAGACTCTAAGTGGGAAACCTGTACGAAATTTGTGCATCTTATAACAAATAAACTTTTAGGTACTATTCGTTTTTACATTGATCACACATCTTCCATACAAACAACAAATTTCAACCACTTTTCGTATCTTCGTGCCAATTCAAGCTCGTGGAATAGTGACGATTGTACGAGATTTTTTTTAATAAATTCTGCTTCGTTTTTAAGCAAAGTTTGGTAGAGTCGCGACGATTGGACTTTGTTGAGTTGGCTTTTAAACAATTTTGGTTGTTTTTCACCATCGCTGAAGGCTGAACTATCCACATTGACGATATTTGTACCATAGAGAATGACTTCGTCGAGTTTTGCGTCGGTTTTGAAAGCCAACCCATGGTACTCATGGGCTGTTTTCACCAAATTGTAGACCAAAAATCGTCGGTGGTACCATATGGATTCGTGGTTCGGGTAGACCGAATTTAACATTTCAACTACGTTGTACATGTCATACAGTAGCAAACAAAAGAAATTAACGAAATTGATGGTCTCTTCCAGGGGTTTCCCCTGGAATTTGTCTTTTCCCAGAAGAAATGTGAGAATGTCTCTGGGGTCGTTCTCACTAACTAAGCCTAATATTTTGATAGTTTCACAATAATAAAACTCGTATACGTTTGTAATCCTCCTACTTTTCCTAACGGTATTGAGTAAATACTGTCTATAGTGAAATCCCGTGTGTTCTGACACATGTCCAGACACCCATTTTTCACTAAACGCAAGCTCGTCAGATACCACATTGGTGAAATTCCCGATTCTTGTCCCCAAAGTCTCGATGCACCAAATTCGGTGAGTCCACGCGTGGTAGTTATTGGCGTTTCTTCGTGCCGCCATTTCGCACACCCCCAGTTCGTTTTCTAGAAAATTTCGGGGGGTTTCCAAATCGTTGACTTGCAGTTTGGCCAAAATGCGCCCCAGAAGCCACCTCCGGTATGCAAACGCCTCGTTTGATTTACTTTTGTACGATAGGACCATTTTGCTAAAAATCAACTCATTGGTGACTCCAATTACGTCGTTTTCCACCAATTCGCGTTTCATGTTCCAAAAAGTCGAAACGTCGGGGTTGATTAACAAAACTCCGATGAGGAGACGATTCAAATTGCTCTGTTTGGCGAAGGAGAGTTTGCGTTTTGCGAGGGATTTTCGAACTTCAAACAGTTCTAAATAAGCGTGACGGTAGATGTGTTTCACACACCATGATTCTAATCCGATGTTGTGTTCTTCGTATAAAACGGGCGATTTGTTTTTTGTGTTGGACTCGCAGGGGATTATTACGAATTCTTTTCTGAAAAAAGTGGAAGTTGGGACAAAGTGAGGTTAAGTGGGGCGACTTACAGTTGGGGGTCGTTATTTAAAATAGTTTCTAGGGTGCGTAAAATGCGCTGAGACATGGAATTGTCGTCTTCCATTTCAGCAAAGGTGATTATCAGCGGGAAAAGGAAATCAAAAAATATTTGGATTTTTTCAACGAATTGACATTTGGAGACACCGTTGCCAACATGATACATTTCAGCCAAAAATTCCTATTTAGTGCCTTTCCACCAATTTTTGCAGGCTATTTTAATTCCTTTGAGTCAAAAATTGTTTAAAAATCAATTTTTTAGTTTTAGACAATTTTTAGTTTCAATATGTTATTTTTTGTGAGTGTAAGCAAGTTTTTGTTACACTTTGTCCCATTGATGTATTATTTATCGGGTGACTGTTGTAATAAAAAAATCTATTGTTGACATTGAATTATTGGTAATCCTAACTTAGTATTGTATGAGAATGTTTGAGGTGATAGCTTAAATGAGCAGGCGCCCCTTGCAAATAAATAACAATTAACTATAAAAGTTTGACGTTTGAATTTGAAAGTCAAGGTTGCCAAACTAAAATTTTAAATTTGACAGCAACTTGAGGTAAAAAACTACAATAATCATTATTTAGCCACCCGGTATTTTAGGTTTGAGGTAACTTGTGTCGGCAATTCAAAATTAAAATCAAGTAGTTTTTTATAATACCTAGAGAGATAGTAACGCATCGTAAATAATTTTACCCTAATTTCAGAAAGAAAGGTGGTCAGCTACCGCCCCCATGATTTAAGGGCAAAATTGGGGTATTAAAATTTGTTAGTTTTGAATTTTTCTTGCTGTACCGTCGGAAAAATTTTATATATTCCACTGGAGAAAAGTGTCATCTCCTCCTTGGGTGGTTTCGCAGTGGGAAGAAAAGACACACTTTGCTTTCTTGTAATACAAATAACTATAGAATAAAATAACACTTTTTGAAAAAGTTTTTCATTACAAAGCTTTTCTTGTAATTTTTGAATAACTCGTCCACAGGTACAAAGAAGTACCTATTCAAAACATTAAAAAATGCCATAAACTTGTAAAATTTTAAAAGTATCAGGAGCACAGGAATCAGAACCAAAGGGTGCTGATAAAAATTAATAAATTTCTGTCAATCAAATTATTGTAAATAAAACTATAAAGTTATAGTAAACTCATAAAACGCTTGACAATTCCTACAAATAATAATCGGCCTGTAGCATCATAATGAATCCTTATTTACACATTTGAATAAAGTTCAAATTCATCCTTCATTATCCTTTTTATCATCTTCTTCCTCCTCTTCCCAATCATCCATTAATTTATGTACCGTTTCTCCAGCAACTTTTTCTTTTTCTTTATTATCTGACTGTTGCGAATCTGTATCTTCCCAATCATCCAAAATGGATATTTTTGTTGAAACATCTTTATTTTGCGAATCTTGCGAAGATTGAGAATTTTCGTCGTTAAACTGACTAGTGGAAGTGTCACTTTGTGACAATTCTTGTTCCGCATTGTTTTCTTCTTGGGTTTTATCTTCTTGGTTTGATTCTTCTATTTCCATAGGGGTTTCAGTGTTATTTTCTTCTTGAGTTTTATCTTCTTCGTTTGGTTCTTCTATTTCCACGGGACATGTTTGAAGCTCCTCTTTTTCACATTCTTCTTCTTTTTCTGGTGTGACAGAAGATGGAACTTTGGATGGTCCTTCATCTTCTTCTTTACTGACATCAGTTTGATTCTCCTCTTCTTCTCCTTTACAACCCTCAACTTCTTCTTTATTGATTTCTATCTGTTCTTCATTTTGTTCGACAGTTTCCGGTTCTTCTTCTTTATCATCTTCAACTGGTGTTTCTGCAACTGGTTCTGGTAAACTTTCCTCAATTTGAGGCTCTTCCACAACTTCCGTTTCCTTTATTTTTTCATTTGTTTCGACTTGATCGGCCTCACATGGCGTTTGATTTTCTTCAACATTTTCCTCAACTTCTTTAGGTTGTTCAATCGGCTTTTCCGGTTCTTCAGTGATGGTCAAAGGTGAGGTAAACTCAAGTTGGCTTCCTTGAGTCAAACTTTCAATCAAAGCATCATTTGGTGGTACAACAGGTTCTGGTTCTTTCTCAGGTTCCTCTTCATTTTTTTCCTCCACAATTGGTTTCTCCTCCTCTTTTAATTCACCATGACTTTCAATTTCCCTCTGTATCATCTCTATGGACTCGATTTGTGTTTCTTGAGGGTTCATCACTACTTGATTTGCAGTTGACGTTATAGTTGCCCCATTTCTGATTTCAATCATCCCAGTTTGTGAGTTAACCATGATGTTGCCTTGGGAGGTTATAAATTGATCTTGTTGGCCATCTACTGGATGACTGTATAGTACGACAATATTCGAATTATCATTATTTATCTCTTCTTGATTATCACCATAGTCGTGATCGGTTAAAACCATAACTAGTTCATCGGTTGATGTTATATCACCGGAGGATAACATCGATTGGGTTAAAACCCCTTGGGAGGTTATAACCTCGTTTTGATTTTGGGTCAATTCAGGAAGAATAAATTCCGGTTGTTCAGTTTGTTCATTGAAACCTTGTTGATCCGGTTGTATAAATAATTGTTGGTTCTCGTTTATAACCACGATATCGACCAGACCTAAACTCGTCGCAATTCCCGTTGCGACATTATTCAAGGCTTCAGCTTCCGAACTTGGTTCAAGGGTAAGTTGTTGATGAGATTGATGTCTCTCTTGCACTTTCACATTTGATAAAATATTAACCTTTTTAGGTGTTTCAGTCGGATCCGAGATAATCTCAGGTAAAATATACTCATCTTTGCTCTCCTCCTCGTCGTCATCTTCGACATCTTCCCCTTCTTCAATACTCACAATTCCGTCCCTCATCGCCTCATTTCTGTGTTGTAGTCTCACATGAGAGAACAAATTCACCCCCGATTGATATCTCTTGGTACAGTATTGACAATCATAGTTATTTTTATTTGACTTCCCTGTATGTCCTGTGATTTGTATATGACTGGTTAAAGTCGTCTGGGACGTGAACGTCAATTTGCATTCGACGCATTGAATTTCATTCTTGTCGTGTTTGAGTTTGTGTTTGGCGAGTAGGTGGGGACTTAGGGCGATGAATGGACATTGGTCGCATTTAGGGAAGTTGTAATTCGGGGGTGGTTTCATCCCGTGTTTGGTGTGCAAGTGGTACATTAAAAGGTTGTGTTTGCTACATCTATGGCCGCAGTATTTGCACAGTTTCGCATCGAATTTTTCGTTATGTACATCCGTCATATGTTTTCTGTATAGGTAGTAGAGGACGAATTCGACGGGTTCGTCGTCGGTGCTACAACGGTCGCATTTCCACGGGGATTTGTTGTCGTTTTGCGAGTCGGAGGTGAGGCATGGCTTCACGGGTTTCGGGAGATCAGTTTTTTGAATATCCGTGACCTAAGGAAAACACAAGAAGAAAAAACTCTAAACTGAATTTTTTTTACCAACCTGCATCTTCAATTTTTGACCCCGAATTTGTATATTCTCCCCTTTGGTTTGCTCCAAAGCTGTCGCTTTATTCTTCGCCATGATCTTCAGCCTGATGTTCTTATTCTTCTTCACTAATTGGGGATATTTTTTCAAAAGTTCTGTAACAATCTTCTCATGATTTAACTCCCCTGTTCCTTTCCCATCTGTTGCAATACTAATCGTCGTAGTCTTATTCTCCTGTTCATCAAACCTCACTTTCTTCACAATTCCTTTCTTCTGTTCTCCCGCTTTCCTCTTCACTCCACTCTCTCCAACATCTAAATCATCTACTGCTTCCTCATCTTGACTCAACCCCGAACGAATCTTTTGTTCTTTGACGTAATTCTTCATTTCTTCCATATCCAAACTCGGTGATGATTTCTTCGAAATGGGAGTGGAACGATTAGCGTTGGGGATTTGTTTAAGGTCATCAAATGACGTACTGGCTCTGTTTTCTTCTTCTAAAGTCAAAAGCGGTTTACTAGTGTAGGAAATATCCTCGAAACTTGTATCCATGAGAGTCAACGGGGGCAGATCTTCCTCAGGCCACTCGAATCTGGTCGGTTTGGGGGTGTTATCGGGGACGGAAAGGGGGTCAGTAGAGGGAGACCACTTCGTTTCAGAGAAACACAAAGGCGAGGAACTGTGAGAAGGTGTGGAGAGGGTTTTGCGTTTCCATATGGGGAGTTTGCGTCCGGGGAGGGGGGCCGGTAGATCGGAGTGGGGAGAAGGCTTAGGAGTCGGCTTTTTTACTGAAATAAAAAGAAAAGTTCAGAAATACATATTTTGACTTAAAGGCAATAGAATTATTAATAACAGTGGCTTGTGATTTCGAAATTAAATTGGCAACATTGCCATTCTAATTTTCGAATGGACAAAAAAAATTGAAAAAATAAAGCTTTTTTCTAGTAAGGCTAGATATAAATTTAGTGTTTTTAGGGGTACGGATAAAACTTAAGTAATCTGATATAATTCAATGTTGCCAATTTAATTTCACAATTACAGGCCACTTGACCAAAATTTCACTTAACCATGGTATAAAAAATATTTTTTCATATGTGAGAACATCAAACGTAGAAATTACATTGTAAATTTTTTGTTTGAAAAAATCGAAGAAATACATGTGTCGTAAATTATTAAGTACATATTTCGCACAAAACTAGCCGCATATCATGCTTATTTGTAATTTTAGAAAAGTAAACTTTATAATTCTGTTATCAGAGTGACTCAATTGGGATTGTTTTATAGTGTTTCAAAATCTAAAATTTATAAATATTCTTGTATTTTTAATTAATACATAATTTTTTAATTACTGATATAGGAGTAGTAAAAAAAAAATCAAAAATAAATAAAACTATTTTTGCTCATTTTTCGAGCATTTTCTACGATTTTTAATTAGAAATTTTCTCAAAAAAAATCGAAAAACCACCGAATTAATTAAAAATAGTTATAAATACAAATTTGTTTTTAAATAATCTTACCAAACAGGTCAAAATGGCAATTTACTTTTGCCTTTTTCTAAGGAATTATTTAGTCGTACATTTTTCAGCAAGAAACACAATTATTTTGCATAATTTCATTAAAAACAAGCCAAAAATTCAGCAAAATAGGCTAAAAATGGCGTTATTATGGCCTTTTTCAAGTGTATGTGTTTGAAATAAAAAGAAAAAAATATTGAAATTTTTGGCTAAAAAATTACAAACTTAAATCGAAATTGATATTATTTTATCGATTGTTAAAAGATATTTTTTCATATGTGAGAACGTCAAACGTAGAAATTGACAATAATGTAAATTTTTTGTTTTAAAAAATCCAAGAAATACATGTGTCGTAAATTATTACGTATTTCGCACAAAACTAGCCGCATATCATGCTTATTTGTAATTTTAGAAACGTAAACTTTATAATTCTGTTATCAGAGTGACTCAGTTGGCATTGTTTTATAGTGTTTCAAAATCTAAAATCTATAAATATTCTTGTATTTCTAAACAAATTCTTTATAAAAAATAACAGTAAAAGTTATAATACTTGGAACCTAAACGAGTTTCTTGTCAAATTTGAAAAAAAACTTTCCACCTAAAACAATCAAGATTCAATAAAAAAATGCGTTCAATCTAATTTCTGATTAAAGTGGCCTGTAACTTGAAATTAAGTTGGTAATAGTGTGAATGTAGATACTGTAAATGTATGTGATTTTTATCATCAAGTAGACCACAAATCTGAAATCTTAATTTGGCAACACTGACTAGTGTTGCCAGGTCTTGTAAATTTCACCAGATTTGGTGATTTTCATGATAGTCTGATAATTTGGTGAAAACATTAGTAAAATTCTGATATCTAGTGATTTTTAATTAATACATAATTTTTTAATTAATTTTAATGATATTGGAGTAGTAAATTAGATCAAATATAAATAAGACTATTTTTGCACCTTTTTCTACGATTTATAATTAGAAATTTTCTCAAAAAAAAATCGAAAAACCACCGAATTAATTCAAAATAGTTATAAATAATACAAATTTGTTTTTAAATAATCTTATCAAACAGGTCAAAATGGCAATTTACTTTTGCCTTTTTCTAATGATTTATTTAGTCATACATTTTTCAGCAAGAAACAAGAAGCCAAAAATTCAGCAAAATAGGCTAAAAATGGCGTTATTATTGCCTTTTTCAAGTGTATGTGTTTGAAATAAAAAGAAAAAAATATTGAAATTTTTGGCTAAAAAATTACAAACTTAAATCGAAATTGATATCATTTTATGGATTGTTAAAAAATATTTTTACATATGTGAGAACGTCAAACGTAGAAATTGAAATACTGTAATTTTTTTGTTTTAAAAAATCGAAGAAATACATGTGTCGTAAATTATTACGTATTTCGCACAGAACTAGCCGCATATCATGCTTATTTGTAATTTTAGAAAAATAATCCTTATAATTCTGTTATCAGAGTGACTCAATTGGCATTGTTTTACAGTGTTTCAAAATCTAAGATCTATAAATATTCTTGTATTTCCAAACAAATTCTTTATAAAAAATAACAGTAAAAGTTATAACACTTGGCCCTAAACGAGTTTCTTGTCAAAGAAAAAAAACTATTATTGTTATTTTTTTTTCACCTAAAGCAATCAAGATTCAATAAAAAAATGCGTTCAGTCTAGTTTCTGATTAAAGTGGCCTGTAATTTGAAATTAAGTTGGTAATAGTGAATGATGTGGATAGAAGTTATTCTTTGACTGTGAATATATGTGATTTTTATCAAGTAGGCCACAAATCTGAAATCTTAATTTGGCAACACTGACTACAGTGTTGCCAGGTCTGGTAAATTTCACCAGATTTGGTGATTTTCATGATAGTCTGATAATTTGGTGAAAACATTAGCAAAATTCTGATATCTAGTGATTTTTAATTAATACATAATTTTTTAATTAATTTTAATGATATAGGAGTAGTAAATTAGTAAAAATAAATAATACTATTTTTGCACCTTTTTCGAGCATTTTCCACGATTTTTAATTAGAAATAAAAAATAAAAAACATCGAATTAATTAAAAATAGTTATAAATACAAATTTGTGGCAATTTACTTTTGCCTTTTTCTAATGATTTATTTAGTCGTACATTTTTCAGCAAGAAACACAATTATTTTGCATAATTTCGTTAAAAACAAGCCAAAAAGTTAACAAAATAGGCCAAAAATGGCGTTATTATTGCCTTTTTCAAGTGTTTAAGCATGTGTTTGAAATAAAAACAAAAAATATTGAAATTTTTGGCTAAAAAATTACAAAATTAAATCGAAATTGATATTATTTTATGATTGTTTAGACTTACTTCGTTTTTGAATCAGAGGCTCGCAATATCTTGTACAAAAAAAAACCAAAAGGAACTGATTTTGTTGTTATTTTGTTTGTTTCACTTCATTTAACTGGTTTTTAAAATTAAGACAAAACAATTAAGACAAGACAAAACCAAAAATTCAACAAATTAAGTCAAGAATTTTTAATACGTTTTTCAACTAGAAACCCAATTATTTCGCAAAATTTTGTTTAAAAATGATGTCATTTTTGCCTTTTTCGATAGTTTAAGCAGATTTTTAAGCTGAAAACTCCGCGAGATTTTGCCATACTGAGTCAAAAATTTCTAAATTGTAATAAAGAAAAGATTATATTATATTTTTACGTAGGTCTTAAGATTTAACCACTCAGTGTATGTAAAAAAAACGTAAACTTTCGACATTATTGGAATGATTTAAACCATAATCTTGTAATCTGTTGAAAATAAGTGTTTTGACAACTTTTTCATCTCCGATCTGGTGAATTTTATTTTTGTGATCTGGCAACACTGACTATCAAATACAAACGTCATCTAGGGCAATAATATCACCATCATTCACTATTGCCAACCTAATTTTATTCATTATCAGAAATTGTTAAACTTGACACAAGACCATAAATAATTTAACTTGTAATAAAACTAAAAATACGAAGAAATTAGCAAGGAAATCCAGTAAAATTGAATGTCCAAAATTAAGTTGGTGACATGAAATAAAATAGAAAAGACGAAAAATTCTGAAGGATTAGATTCTCGTACCTTGTGCATTAAACATGGGGCTGTCTGGTGCCCTCTTCTTGAGACTTTTCGCCCCTGACGACACTGGGTGCTTCTGAGCATCCAGCAATTTGGTCAAAATCGTGATATTCATAAGTTGTGCCGTTTTATACAACCTATCAAAAATCGATAAGTGAAATTCCAACATCCCCGTGTACATAAAATTAACAATCGGCACAATCACATCAGCTTGTAGATCAGAAGGCATCATAATAACATTCTCTTCAAGAGCACAAGTCTGTTCCAGAAACTGGAAATATTCAGTACAAGCATTCATAACAAGCCGGTGCACTTTTAACTGAACATTCCCTTCGAACTGTAGAGTCATGTCGCAGTAGTCCGTTTTACTGAAGAACATTTGTAGACGTTGCAGGAAAAAAATCCCCCAATTGTCCACCCGGACTTGCTTGGTGCTCTCCCCCATTTTCGGATATAACCTCATACTATTTCCTGGTTTGTTTTCACCTAAGCCGGGCCTGGAAACAAATCGCCGTGAGAGAAGCTCGTTGAAAATAAGAAAAAAATAAATACAGCTCTGGGTTAGCTCCGAGAAGTGTTGCATTTTGGGGGTTAGAATCGAGACAAAGGGACTAAAGTCGGCCGGGTTTTGCCTGGGGGGAGTTTGGATCACATTATTTTCAATGTTTTTAATTCAAATTTACTGACCTTTTCCTTATATTGAAAATATTAGCTCCATCTCTACAGACGCATAAACATATTGGCGATACGCTACTACTCCTTTGGATTCGTAGGTGGCGCGGCTGTCACTTTGTGACACGCGGGACGTTTGAATCTAACCACAAAATTAATAAATTCGTCCGTCCTTAAACCCTTAAATTTTATGTCATTTGCCGTGAGTGCTTTAATTTAAAATGTGATTTGTCTAACTGTAACGATTTTGGTATAACTTGCAATATAACCATTTCGTGCAATCTGTATTCTCGAGTGATGCGATCAATGATTGATTAGAGGTGGCGGTCGGGAGATGGCGCTGATGCCTCTTGTTGTTACCAACCTAGTAATTGAAAAAAATAAGAAGCAATTAAATTGTAACACTATTTATTGATAAAAGCAAAACAAATAAGATATCACAGGTTTCTTCTATGTTAACATGTTTACAAAAACAAAAATTCACAAAAACACAACTCCAACCGCAATAAATTAACATCTAACATATAAACATCATAGGTAAAATTAAAAACAGTGTAAATTGTTTCCTATTAAAACTAGTACAAAACTGTACATTGAAATAAAAGACTAAACATTTTCATTTCAACAATTTTCTGCCTAATAAGGATTACGAAGTTTCTAAAATTATGAAACATTTTTTCTTTCTAAAATCGCTCAGTACCAATTCACAGCTTTAGTTCCCAATCATCTTGATATTATTGCTAGGAAGTTGATATAAGAGCGTCTTGGACGCCTCATTGAAACTAAACTGGAATAAAATAAGTTTGTACTAGATGGCGAGAATTAACTAAAGGTTAAAAACAAAATCCCAGTTTTGCAAATCGGTCCATTACACCAGAAACCCTCTCGTGACAAATTGAGCTTATAGTAAACGTGCTGACTATACATAGGAGTAGTTCCAATACCCTTATGGCAATAATAGATTTGGCAAATATGAAACAACGCGGTCTAGTGTCGATACTGGGATGGTGGCAACAATATTTAAGTGAAATATTGCTAAATCTAAATTTAAAAAGACTGAATACTGATCACATTCCTACAGTAGTTAATGTGGCTAACTGCTGCTGTCTCTAGAACTCGCCTCTTTCTGTCTGTTGTTTGGGATCAACAAAGTCGACAGCGCTTCCAGAGACTGTCTAACCTGAAACAAACAATAAAATTTTAATTAAAAATATGTTGTCAATTTTTACAACTAATTATTATCGTATCAACAAGAAATTACTCCCTAGGATTTAGGGATATTCGCGAATAGGTTGCCATAAATTTGGTTAGGTTGGTTTGTAGTGACAAACAAAAGATATCGTAACTAGTGTCAAAAATTTAGGTTAAGTCACCTGTCAGTTTGTACAGATAACTCAATTGATAGTTGACAGCAGGATGACAGGAAACGTCAACCTTCAACAAGGGCTAACCCTAGGCATTTAAAATTGCCTCTGAAAATTCTAGTTCCAAACAACATAAAAAACATAATTTTCCTAAAAATTCAACTCCTAGGTGGTAATTTCTTGTTGACAAATCTGAATATTTATTTATGATACATACAGGCTGCGCCAGAACTCGTGCCCCAGACAATAAGATACCCGGAACATGAAAAATTTGACATTTAATTTTTGACATTTGACATTTTTTAAATATGTTTTTTTACGATTACAGTACAAAGATATTCTACTTAAAAATTGTTTTCTTTTGTTTTGTTTTCTTTTTAATAAAAAATGCTTTTTTTCTATACAAACGGTATAAAAAGTTGAAAATAGTATAAAACACCCGTAACAGAGAACCACTGAAGCAAATGTTTGTTGCTCTCACACCTGTGTGAAAAGTACATAACCATCTAAAAATTTTCACATTCGATATCTCCATGTTTATTAAGACTTTTTTGTTTATTTTGGTCCATATACTTTTACGTACTTAAATATTTTACAATCTTTTTTTAACACCCTGTATACAATTATAAAAGGTGATTCAAAAATATCGGGCCATCTCTTGGGTATATCCAATTAAGTTAAAAGTTCCCATGAGAAAAAATTATTTGAGCCTTTTTTCATGAGATTTAGCTCTTCAAGGTTAGATTTTGACTTCTTGACTTTAGTTAGTTGCAACATTAAACATATTCCTGTTGAAAAAAATTACTAATTTCTGTGTTATGGTGTACAAGACATTTAAAAAACTAGCAAATTCAAAAATAAATTTTCTTAAATTTTCTCAAACATCGAAATAATCCCAACTCTAATACTTCTGTATATGTCAAAACTGTCAAAAACAACAAATGGGTTTATTTCATGTTAAAATATTATCGGTAATGACGCAAATTTTAACACGTTTTCCCTTTTCTTTGCAGTTCCTTTGTTATTTTAACAAATATTTCATATTATCAAGTTAAAAAATTCTTTAATAAACTTCGATACAACAATGACATAACCTCATTAACGATAAGATAAAATAATACTTCTCAGATAAGTAATTAATTACTGTTGGTAATAATGAATTAACAAAAATAGTAGTTGCGAATTACGCCTGAGCCAACAGGTCCATTAAGTAGGGCAGTGATGCCAAATTGTCCCTACATTGTCGCGTCTAAATTCCCTAGAATTCCCTAAACTACTTAAAAAATAAAAAGATACTATTTCATTGGCCTGTTTTGTTGAGGTAATATAATATAAATACAACATAAAAATGTGTTAACTCCAAACAACAAAAAATCAATAAATAATATAACATAAATTAAAATAAATTTTACTAAAGAAATAAAAAAATAAAATACAAGTCAATTAAAACAAATTCAAATAAACGTGTATATTTAGATACCTACTTAATTTTTTATTTATACTTATAAATTATGGGATGGATTTCATTAATTTTAAATATTCGTCTAAAACATTAAATGAATTGCAATAATTAGTAAACTTGGCAACGCGAAAAACGCAAACGGCTTTTAGTTATCTTGTTCTTTTTTTTGTCTTTACACAACTACAGAAAATACATTTTTGGTTTCCGCGTTACTATGTGGTACTCATATACAAATGCGCTAACTTGGGGAAGTTACAATATTCATATTAAAAATTTTTGTAATTTTTGAAACTGTGCCAGCAAAAAATTGAGATTTTCACAGAAAATGTAAAAAATCCCTTTTTTCCTTTTTGTTAGAAAAATCCCTAGAACTAGGGAAAAATTCCCTAATCTGGCATCACTGAAGTAGGGTTATACTTTTCATCGTTGTATTTCTGGATAATAAATATGCGAGTAGTGAAATAAATGTTAAATAAAACACGGTAGAGAAGATTTTTATAGCTTCGCATTTATTAACAAAACGGCTCGACTATAAAAAATCTCTTCTCTACCTTGTGATATAATATACTATTTCATATTTTTAATTCGGCATTGAGTGTTTCATAATTTCTCATTTAAAAACAAAAAAAAATTGTCACTCACCTTAGCAATTTGGTCTAAATTCGTGTCTAAGAAATTGTGCACGGCCCCCGCCGACTTCGAATGTAAATGAGTCTGATATTGTAGTAGATTACTGTAAACGTCTTCGCTGCCTGCAGCGAGCATTGTCTCATGCAAATTAAATGAATATTTGTTTTGTATTTTACTAATTCGATAAAGTAACACAGCTGCCGATAAGAAGAGAAGAATTAACAGTAACGTCGTGGCGAACAATATTAGGCTCTGTCGCGGTAGGCTGGCGAATTTCAAAATGCCCGCCTTAAGAGCGTAGACCATTTCCATTGAGCGTTGTTGCCTTTCGACTTTAGGCCCGGCGATGTCTTTGCGCTCTTTGAGGACCATTTGAGCAAATCGGGGAGTTGGTAATGGTGATTCTCGCCCACTTTCACCTTCACGCGTTTCAGAGCTGTCACTATCGGACACTACAGGTTCCTGTAATGAAATAGTATATTACATAACGCACACGGAATGACGCACAAGCGGAAAAGTTGCGCACGAGGCGTCAGCCGAGTGCAGGCAATCCCGCGAGTGCGTTAGACACATTCCTGCAAGTTTTGTACACTATTTTTCCTACGACCATAAATTTTTTTTTTCTTACGAACATATATTTTTTTCATGACGATTTATTTTTTATAATGGATACAAAAATACGTTGAATAACGATTTATTTTTTTAATGGATACAAAAAAAATACGTTAAATGAAAAAATACAAAACATACGAGTGTGAATTGTGCGTTAGATTTCTAACACACAGTGCGAAAACAAATCGCACAGGTTTTCGTCAGGTTTTTGCCAATTTTCTAGTTTCGTATATGGTCGTAGGAAAATATAATTTACGGAAGGGTTCAATGCGAGTTTTTGGGATCCTACCACTATTTCCGGTTCGACCACGAGGAGAGAGGCGTTCTGGGCGACCTCCCAGACTTTGACCATGTAACGGTAGGTATTGTCACGTGACATTAGACTGCCGAAAACGTGCTTGTCTTCGCTTGTTGCGATTCCAACAGCGTTCGGGATTATCCTTGCGGTTTTTTCTTTTGTTATTTTCTCCACGGACAGCATTGGAATGAGAAGCTAGAACAATGTCATTTTCTACATTTATTAACTCGGCAAAAAGATGGCGAAGAAACAAGATAAAAGGTCGAAAGCTGCTGACAAAGCAGGAAAACAGGATTAAAGAAATGATTAGACAGAAAGAAAATAACACGAAGAAGGCAGAAATAAAGAAGCAAATGGGAGATGAAAGCGGTGAAAAATATTTGAGATAAACAATGAGTAAAGACAACAAAGAGAATGCACATATAAAAAAAGGAAGATACGTTTGGTAAAAATGCAGATAAAAGAAAACTAATGTAATAATAACCTGATCAGAAATGTATAGAATAATATATTAATGATATATGAAGACGGGGATAAAAAATTGAAAGAAAAGTAAAAGCCTGATTGCGTAGAAAATGGTTTCTAGGAAGGACTTGTGCCATGCTTCCACACGCTCAACCAACGAGAATTCTTCGCCTGAAGAAGATACAATTAAGGTATCGAAACGTCGCGACGAATTTAATGTTTTATTTCCCTGTGTCCTATAAACCATTTTCTACGTAATCAGGCTATTATATTTTTCAAGGACAATTATCACAAAATGGAGAAAAGTAACCAGCAGAAGACACAACTATGAAAAAAAAGATAAAACAAGGGTAGAAGCAGGAAAAAGAGCAAAGAAAATTCTAAATGCAAAAAAGGTTAAGAAAGTAGGAAACAACATTATAAAAGTTGCAACAAAGTAGTAAAGACAAGAAAGTAGGAAACAATATTATTAAAAATGCAAAAAAACAGTAGAACGGTTGAGAAAGAAAAATTCTAGATAATGAAAGATAGAAACATACAAAAGCAAGAAAGAAGAGCCAAAGTGAAGAAGTCGCCTTCTAACGGACATAATATAGAAAGAAAAATGTACCTTACAGAAAAGATGAAAGAGGAGAAAATGACAGCCAGATTCAGATGTAAAAATTAAGAGAATGCGAATAAATACTGGACGAAAGAGAAGAAAGAGCAAGAGGAGAAAGGAGACGAAATTGGAACAGAAGTAGAATTGATGCAAGAAGAGTGAGAAGAAGGAACCAAGATTAAGTATTATTTTGTGTTCGTATTCTTAGTATAGTGTATTGTAGTACACAAACAAATAAAACTATAAAAAGTTAAAAGATATAGAAAAAAAGTTCGGTGCACGATTTGAAAAAAAACATGTCTCTCGAAAAGAGTGTTGTGTCGTACAAAAGTAAAAGAAAAAAACGCTTTTCAAAGCAAAATTTTTCGCCTTAAATAGGTTGACCAGTGCCTCCGCCCTTTTATTAAGATACACAATTTTTAATAGCACCATTAAATTACTCATAATTCATCTAAATTGGTTTTCGAAATAATAAAAAAAAAAGATCTTTTAGTCTAGTTCTCTAGCATTTTTAGTCATAGGTCCATAAAAACTTTTTTATATTGACCTAAAAAATCACAACCCCCCTTCCCCCCAAAATAACGTTTTTTTTTTTGGAAATGCTGTACATACGGAGATACTGAAATAATCTAATTTCCTTGACAAAACAGTGTTTAAAAAAAATTTTAAATAAATAAATAGTAATAAAAACAAAAAAAAGTATTTTACTATTTTAGAAAAAAGAAAGTATTACAAACTTTAACAGTGTGTTGCATGTTAAAAAATTAAGAAGTCGGAAGTAAAATAATTTCAAAAACTTTGATCAAACATCCTATTTTGTCTGGATCTTTTTGGAATATCAATCCGACTCATTTTTCTATCCAATTTTTGTTTTTGTTTCGCTAAAAATTATTAAATATCTCTTGGTATATGATAGCCATTAAATTTTTTTTTAACAATTTGATAATTCAAAATTGACAAAATTTACATTTATTGAGATTTTCAACATTTAGCAAACTTCTGCACTTTTTTAACTTTCTGAGTGTAATGTGTTGACAAATATTGTAGGTCTAAAGTCTGTATTTTCTCTTTTAAAGTACATGCTTAAAATTCTATTTTTCTAGTTTTTTTCACAAAACAAAAAAGCGTTTATATAAATTATACAATAACGATTTTGAAGAGGTTGAAAATCAAATTAAATGTTAATTATTAATTTTTACCTTGGTCACGTATCCGAAGACGTTGGAATAGAACGCAAAGTAGTTTTTGGTGATGTACAAGTGGCCTTGTAGCAGAATATCACCGATAAGAGCACAGGAATAATCTGTGAAAACGGAAAAATGCCTTAAAATTTCTTCAAATAAAGTTGCGAAAAACTCACAATTTAGGACTTTTTCGTCTTTGTCAACAGCCGGAAAATGTCTGTTGAATTTTTTCTGGCGCGCTTTCGACGTCGTAGGCACTTTGTTCTCCTTTGCCGTTTTGGGGCTGGGGGGTTCGGTGAGCTGCGCTTGGGCCGTCATGGCTGGCGTCGACGTCGACAAGTGTTTCAAAGACGCTCTGGAATAATAATTACATTACAAACGTCACTTTGACAAAACTGGATTTTTCTGGAATTTATCCGCAAAAAAATACAGGATGTGCCAGTTTATGGCGAAATTAACGACTTCCGACGGGCTCTAACGATGCCAATTGAAGATTTAGACCGACCTGAGAATTTATTTGTGGAAAAGTTGGGGTTTTTGGCATCGGAAGGTTTCCCCAAAAAAATTAAAAAGGTGCTAATTGAGTGGTAGAAACAAAAACTAACCAACTAGAGTTTCCGTTACTGGTAATTTCATGGTTTGAATTCCTTAGAGTTAGCCAATGTGAACTTATTTTTTGAGGGGAAGTGGACGTGTCATCAACCTCTTTTTTGAGGTCGCATAAGTTTAATTTTAAAACAAAATTGGGATAAGCAGTCAGTGCACACTAAGAATAATAAATTATTTTCCTATTACGACCTTGTAAAACAATTTTTTTTCCAATAATTGTGTATTTTACTACTAATGGTTTGTCACGTTGATTAAAATAAGGTCGGGAATTTATTATAAAAACTCAAAAAGCCATGGTATTTCTTTAAATTGCACTTTTAACTATACTTCGAAAGATAATAACATAAAGAAAAAGATTGATCCAAATTAGACAAATTTCCAAATTTTTTTTCAATATTTTTTAAACTTTAAGATTTATATAATTTSTAATAAATTTTTGTTGAGTTTACTAGTTCTGAAGACAAATATGATGAATGGTGTATCTTATATTTGGTTTTACTCTTTTAAATATACGACTATAGAATAAAATTCAACATTTTTTGTTTTTGTGTTTTTTAATGTTGTTAATTTCATCACAATTGAATTCTAGAAATAGGATTTATAAACTGTATTTCATAAATTGACAGGTGAAAAACAGAATATTAATTTCAACAATGAATTATTTATAGTATTTTATCTATTAAATATTTGTAATCTGTGCCAACTTCGTATTATAAAAATTGCCAACACAACATTCTATCAATAACCTGAATTTACCAGATTTTGAAAATTTAGTGTCAATAAACATTATAATAATAAAAGTTGTTTAAATGCTACTTATATGTGCTAAATCATTTTTTATTTTATTATTTATCATGTTACGCAAAAGCAAATTAAAAGTAGGTAAGTGTATAATAAAATTACTCATATATTTATTAAAGCCTGATTTATTGTGTTAAATTAACATTTGTTGTAAAATTTTGTTATACAGGGTGTCTCGCGAGGCAGTGCAAATATTTTAACCATTCATTAACCATTCAAAATAAATTTAACATATTTTTTTTCTTTAAAAAACTAATTTTTGTGGAATTTTCAGCCCCCAAATATACAGTTTATATTTTCTATCTTTAAATTTTTATCAAATTTAGCATACAGTTGTTGTTTTAAATAATCATTTAACAGAGCAAATTGTAACGCTGTGAAACATTGTCAAAGGGGGCTACGAGAGCCCCCTTCACATAAATTAGTTTGGCTTTGGTGTTACTACTAGAATTTTAAAGCCCATTCAATTTAGAAACTTTTTTGTCTCTTGTAAATTTTTCGTAAATAACAACGTTGTCGAGTAAAATAAAAAATAATTTATATAAAAAAAATACGCATAAATTAATTTCTAATTATTTTAATGTATAGTTAATCGCATTTCCTCGCGAGACATCCTGTATAAACAGGCTTTTTTAATTAAAAATATAACCTTTAAAAATGTGCGCAATTTTTTGTTTTGAAATATGAATAAATACCCACAACTAATATTGTAGATAACAATAATGAAAGCCTCGCTGTTGATATATAAATATGTAAATAATGAATGGTTCATCTAATGTACAAATCATTTCTAATAGTTTATTGTACTTTTCTCAATTGGGTCAATAAATTATCTATAACTAAGTTAACCATTCTTAAGTGAATTATTAAAACAATAAACTTATTTGTAAAAAACACACCTGCCTCACTTCGATAAAAAACAAATAACAAAAATGATGCAGGTGCTAGATATTTATAAAGTTAGGGTTTTAAATACATCACAAAACACCTTGTATCTTTACCTTAAAAACTACTATTGACATACATCTTTCTAAAAATACATAAACAAACAATAAAACTGTACTTTGTACTCAAGAAATAAACTTTGTATAAAAATAAATGCAATTAAACATACAAAAAGTTATCTCGTCCTTGCAGTATTTATACGTGTTTGCTTTGTATTTTTTAAAAAACCCAAAGAAAAAAATTACATTGAAATGAAACTGAAATAAAAAATTCAAATGCGCAACCTTAAGACCCGTATAATTACATACAAAACTATTACGAGTATAGATCAAAATTTAAAAAGATTTTCCATGCTGTTCCGCAATTTTGAGCCAGCCTATATAATAGTCAAACCAATGGCGTGTACCATATGGGTCCCAAAGCAATATTTATGTACGTTTGAGTCACTATACAGGTTGCGCAAGAGAAAATTTTCAAGTAAAATAAGATACCAGGAACATAAAAAAAATGTTTAAAAAATTCTATGTGAAAAAATTTTGACATTTGACAATTTTTTATATTTATTTAATGATACTGATAATCTTGTACATATGTTTTTTTACAATTATTTAGTAAAGGGACAAAAATTTGGCCAATAAAATCCACAAATAACATTCAACAGAGTTACAATTTAGGATACAGCTTACTTGTTTCCTTTTTTAATAGCCTATAGCAAAAAAAAATATTTTTCCAACAGAAATAAATAGAGTCAAAGTGCAAACTTCAAACCCTCATAACTTCGAAATTTTTATAGATAAAATTTTTTTAACATTTTTTCCATGTCCCTGGTATCTTACCTTATATAACATTTTGCTCTGGGGCGCGATTTCTGGCGCTCCCTGTATTAATAAATTAGAAAATATATTTGGTATACTTTCTGTATTACATTATTTTAGAACAGAAATCGTGGGAAGTAAATTCTCATACACTCGTCGACATAGTGCAGCACGGCCTTGCATTTTCCAAGATTTTTTTCCCTGGCCTAATTTATTTACTGGCGTGGGAAGTGTGAATTATTACAATAATGTATAAAAATGACAATTTACTTCTCTTTTATCGTTTTTGAAAGTACGAAATTTTCAATTCCACTTAAATTGATTCACTGAGTTGGTATAACCGTTAAAAGTTGTTTATCTACTTATAAATTGTTTGTAGTGTTAGTATTCAAATCGTTGCTATTATCACGACTATTTATCCAATTTAGGACCTCATTACAGTAAGTGCTTTTAATTTATTAATAACGATACGAGTATCAAATGTCATAGAAAAATTCCACACTAGTCATAAAATTTGTGTAAAATTATAAATTTTGCAAAGAATAAATCAAATAATACAGAAACAAAGGTCAAGATATTAAAACATTTCCTTTGACTATAAATGTTACTATACACAAGGTCAAAAAAAGTGAAATAATCTTACGTGTCGGAATCGGTGCCCCAACTATCACCACTGCTGGTACTAACAGCATCGTCTTTTTGAGCTTTTGTAAATTTAGCAAGCATTTCTAAATTAATTAAGATTTTTCGTCTACAATTACCGACAACAAAATGACAACTAAACACAACTCGATATATTAGATAATTCTTATCACTTATCAGAAATCGAATATTCGTTGCTATTATTAACCTTATATTGTTTTGATTCTACCTCATCCATCGTTAACTCCCTTATCTTAACATTGCTATTAACACGAGTTTTGAAAATTCGTAACTTTGCGTCAATTTTCGTTTTTTATCTTTAGTTTGCACACCTGTTTCCTCGACCTGTTATCAAGCGGCGATTAATTCGCCCACTATGATGGAATGTTTCCACTTGGTGTGACAAACCATAGTGAAATTTGATAAAAGTTACAAAAAAATTTGGGACAAAAGAATAACATTCTTAGTATTATCACCTTTTTTGAAAAAAAATTGAACTGTATAGCCGAAGTAAATTCTGATTTTCTGATACGATTTACAAATTCAACTAAATTTAATTAAAAAAATAGTATATTATGTTATTAGGAGTAAAAGTGACCGCTTATATAGCGAAGTAGAACGTTTAGTGAGCTGAGCCACATAAACTCGCTTTTACTCCTAATAACATATAAAGTAAAGAGTAACACTTAATTAGCAAGTAAATGAACAAAATAATCAGGACGTTTTGCAACTAATGTAATTATGGCTCATAAACAAACATATCGGAACTTGGGTTGAGATTTTAGGTGTTTTTTAATTTCACTAGTGGATGATTAGCGCAGTTAGCAGTATGTCCCCGGATCGAGTTTACAAAGAAAAAAAAATTATCTTTAATTTTACACCAAAACTGCAAAGGAAAAAAATTTTTGCTTTACTTGAAACCAGCAAATCTGTAATAAAAACTTCATTATTCTAACTCAGTAGAAAGAAAAGTTCATTTTTCTATTGATTTTGGACTTTTTTTCTGCTTTTTAAGTCCTATCACATTGGCGGTTTTATTATTTTGACAATGATATCACTTTGACAAATGAGTTTACCCAAGTTAAATAAATAACAAAAATGTTTATGAAAAACATAATTTTAGTCAAAGAAACAGCTTTAAGGTAAAAACCGAAGTCATTTTTAACAAGAAATATCATTATTTAATTCATAAATTAATTTTCAAAGTGACATATAGTAAGCAAATAAATAAAAAGCACCAATGTGAGTGATAAGACTTAAAAAGCAGAGAAAAATTATTATTCTAAGTCCAAAATCAAGAGAAAAATGAACTTTTTTCGAGTTGGAATAATGAAGTGTTAATTACAGATTTTTTTCCAAGTAAAGCAAAAACTTTTTTTCCTTTACAGTTTTGGCGTAAAATCAAAGATAAAAAAAATTTCCTCTTGTAAACCCAATCCGGGAACATACTGTAGAATGTACCTTTCCGGAAATTGCTAAAGCAGAAAAACAAGAAATTAACAATATTGTAAATAATATAATAGTAAAAGTAAAAAAAATGCTTAGGCGCAAAAATGAAATTTTTACTCCATGGCTGAAAAGCAAATTTTCCTTGTGACATTTAGCAATAAAAGTGGTCACTTTTGTGACGTTTGTAGATAAAAACAATTATGAGACCTGTATTTCACTACCTTTGTAAATGTGTAAAATTTATACTGAAACTTTATACAGAGTGTTAAAAAAAATGACATTTAGCAATAAAAGTGGTCACTTTTGTGACGTTTGTAGATAAAAACAATAATGAGACCTGTATTTCACTACCTTGGTAAATGTGTAAAATTTATACTGAAACTTTATACAGAGTGCTAAAAAAAATGACATTTAGCAATAAAAGTGGTCACTTTTGTGACGTTTATAGATAAAAACAATAATGAGACCTGTATTTCACTACCTTTGTAAATGTGTAAAATTTATACTGAAACTTAATACAGAGTGCTAAAAAAAATGAAACTAAAAGCGTTTCTTGCTAAAACTATTTACATTAAAAAAATGATTAATGATAAAGTACTAGAACTTTTTGGACAAGAAAAAATGTGATTTTTTTGTTTTTGAGTTTTGCAAAAAAAAATTATTTCAGTATACGTAGTCTTTATTCTTTATTTCCACATAATTTCTTTGGTTTGTTTTGTTAACTTTATAAACCTACTGTTTTTGGGCTTACTTATCGCATTTAGTGAAGAGAGAGTGACTTGGGCTTCGCTGGATCGAGGGTGACGTGCAGCCTGGACTGCATGGCTGCGAGGCTGGTTCCGGGGAAGTACCGAGGGTCCCTTGCGGCGTTCCGGGAGCCGACCGGGCCCCCGCGCTCCCGAAATTGCCAGACGACCTAGAAATGAAAAATCCTGCGTCATTTTTACCAATCGATAAATAAAACATCTGCCAAGTTCGACATTTGAATAAAACATAATAGCGAAAGTTTGAACCGATCGATTGATGGATGATTCATAAACATTGATAAAAAAATACGTAACTCTGGACCGGATGAAGAGTGCAGAAAAGTGGCTGAGTCAGAGATTAGAGGGATGAAAACAAGATTTTATCACTAGGATCGCAATGAGTACTATTAACGTATGTGAGATTTGAGAAAGTTAGACGACCTCAAAAACAATCGTCGGAAATTTATTATAATCGAGTTCACACAAGTGTTACATAATTCATGATTATTTTGGACACTTGATACAATTTGTATCTTTTAATTTTGCCATATTTCATAACTCAATGTAAAAGGATACAGTGTAAATGTGGTCGACCTCCAGAAAGTAGGTGTCTTGAAAATTTATCTAAATCCTGTTTGAAAGACTTGACCAACAAAGAGTCCAATGTTGTAAAAAAATGGCAAATTGCAAACAAAATGTCAAAACTTAGTAGTTTTTAAAATTGTTAACACGTGAAATATATAAAAAAACATTTCAATGATCATATATTATCTTATCATATCACAAACGATAGTAAATAACATGACGTATTTGATGGCCAAGGCAAATTGAATCAGTTTTCACTTTTGCAACTGAAAATAATAATAGTATATTATTACACAAGTTTCATAAGAAGATCTATTATCGCCCAAGAGGTTTAGGGCAGTGTAAGTCTAATATACTATTTTTTCTATTTTGTCCTCATTTTTACCATAAAAACCAAAAAAATTTTAAAACGTTGCTATTTAGGGAGTTTTTAAATTCACAGCACTGAATCACAAATTTGTTTTTTTTATTTTACAAAAATCGTAAACAAAGCATTACATTTTGAGGTTATGTTTGCTTATGTCATTTCGCTATCATTACCAACCTTTGCTAATAAAATGTAGCGTTTCGTAAGAAGTGTCATTGTGAAACCCAACGAAAATGCATAAGTCAAGCTTGGAAACGCAAATAAGAAAAAAATGCTCGGTCACTTAAATTATTACTATTCGAAGAAAATTATTAAATTGTTTGGTTTATGATAAAAACTTTTTCTCTTGAAAACAAATAAAAATTTCGTCTTAAAGCTTTTAAGACGTCTGCTGGTACTGACTGCCTGACTATTAACCTAATGAAGTCAGTAAAAATAGATTTTATGTCGACTTTATAGAAATGTAAATATCATCAAAAGGTGTCCTATTTAGAGTTTGAATTAGAAATAAGCAAAATTTTAGATGATGTTATTTTTAAACATTTCAACTTTGATTGTTCTTTCGAAGTTTATTGATTTGAAACACTTCAAGAAATTGGGACAACGAAGTATCTGTGACAGCGAAAAGCTGAAAAATCGTGATCTTGTTTTACTAGAAACCCAATAAGGAAAGTTGCTGGGTAAGAATATCATGTTTTCCGACTAATATGAAAATCGATGAGGATCTGTAATTAAGAGACAACACAAAAACGCAAAAAACCTTATAAACATAAAAATAAAGCTGAAATTTGAAAAATTATGTCTAAATTATAGTAGAATAAACTTTGATACGTTAAATATTTAATGTTAACCAAAAAATTGTATAAAATGGTGATTCCAAAATTTGTTTAAAGCATTTTGATGTCAACATAAACTATAATTTTCAAATATCTGTTAATCATTAATTCTATAAACGT